TAGATCAAGGACAAACACAACAAGGGGATTAGACTTTGATCACATGATAAAGCAAGAACACACAAGGGAGGTATAAGGATAGGTGAGACACCTAAAAAACTAGATAGCATTTGTTGCCCTCAACGCAGAGAAACTAAAGCAGATACTTTAAAGCAACTGAGGCCAATAGGAGAGGGGGACCAGGAACTAGAGAAAAGGTTAGATCAAGAAGAATTAACTTAGAAGGTAACACACATGCACAGGAAATCAATGCAAGTCCCTGTATTTGTCCTTATCTCAACTAGCAAAAACCCTTGTTCCTTCCTATTATTGCTTATACTCGCTCTTCAACAAAATTAGAGATAAGGGCAAAATAGTTTCTGCCGGGTAGCGAGGGGTAAGTGAGGGTAAGGGAGGGAGCGGGGTAAAGGGGGGAGAAATGATCCAAACATTGTATGCACATATGAATAAAATAAAAAATAAAAAAAAAACAAAATAGGCATTCTGTTAGATGATTTTGTCCACCTGTAATGAAGTGTTCTGACTGTTTAAGGTATAGTAGGCTAAGCTATGGTATTTGGTAGTATTACCAAACATGTATTAAAATATATTTTCTACAGATGTTTTATATGTGTGTGTGTGTGTATCAGTAATAAGTTATGTAAAATCCCTTTCCTAGTAGATTTCCTTAATCTCGTTTCTCCATGTCCTTCATCTTAGTTGGAGCAAATGCCAGCAGAAAGACCCTTTAACTATAATTAAGGTACCTGTGTGTTCCACCATGGTGTGTGACTAGTCTAAGGGTAATGTGACTAATCTCTCTGGATATAATATTTCCTTTCTATAAATAAAAGCATTGAAAAAAACCAGTATCTAAGAAGTTTTTTTCAGTAACTCTAAATAGTCTACCAACCCTTCATTTTCACACACACACACAATTTTATTCTAAACACAGTAGTTAGAAAAATCTTGATAAATGGTTAAATCAAATCTTGTTACTCCTCTGCTCAAAACCTTACAATGGCTTCCTGTCATTCTCAAAACAAAATTCAAGTCCTTGCTGTGTCTGGAAGGTAGTATTAGCTCCTAGTGACTAGAAGTGGTCCAGTTCCCAAGGCTTCTCTAACCTCTCCTCCTCCATGCTGAGCTCCACACTGTTCCTCATACCCAAGCATACACCTTTTCTAGGCTTTTTGCATTTGCTTTTCTTTTTGCCTGGAAAATTCCTCTCTCTGTCCAAGGTTCACATGGCTCAGTCCCTCACTTCCTTCAATTACTTGTTCAGATGTCTCCTTTCAGAGGCATTACCTGACCTGGCCACCCCACATAAAACAGCATCTCTGTGTCACTCTCTGCCTTTCACCCTGCATTTTTCTTTTTAATCCTCATGACTGCCTAACATGTCCTGTATTTCCTTGTTCATCTTCTGTCTTCCTCCTCTAGAAGACACACTCCATTAGAGTAGAGGGCTTTGCTTATTTTGTTCCCTGTTATCTTCCCAATGCCTGGAATAGTGCCTGGCATGTAATAAATGCTCAATAAATTATTGTTTTACGGATAAAACAATGACTTTTTCTAGTAATAAGATAAGTCTTGCTGTGTGTAAAAACTTATTCAGACTTAGTAAGGTTCAAATCTTCCCACTGGGATCTATAAAGGATAAGTATTGTAATTATGCTTGGTAGTTGGCTATGTAGTACACTTACCAACAGAAATGGACCATTAACTGAAGCTAATCCACTCCATTCCATGAAAACTTTTGTTTCATAGCATGGTGAGTTACAGTAAGATTAGATCTCAATGCTATTTTTTCTATTCAATTTCCTATGGTAAGAAAAGTTGACCTTACCATATTCCCTTAAGTTAAGCCTGGAGAAGTTTAGTCATTTCTCCAATACCTCCAGTCTTTTTGAGACAGAAATCAAATAAGGACATAAATCCCTGACCAAACCCATGGATGCTTATTTTCATGAGTGACCTACACAAGAGCAGGAAGAAATATATGAGGTGTGGAGTAAAAAGTATAGAGTAACAACTATGAGGTATATTTCCCACTGAGCCTCTGAAACAATTGCATGTTCCAGGGGTTCAAAGTACTGTTTATCTCATATATTTTTGTATCCCCAGTGCTTGGCATGTGCTCAATTAATGTGTGCTGATGTGATGAAAATGTCAATCTTGTAATAAATAGCCTATTAGAAAAGAGGCACCTCTTCCTCCAGGTCATCTTCTGCACAGGTCACAGCTTTGGAGCCATTCAAACAACAACAACAACAACACACACACACACACACACACACGGGGCAGGGAGTAGAAAGAGCAAGAGAGAGGCAGAGAGAGAGAGAGAAAAAGAAAGAGAGATTCCCTTAAAAGAGAAGAAACCTCTACACACTGCATCCACATCTACATCTGATTGTGCAGGAGCTTCCTAGCCAGGTGAAAGGTGAGAACAAATTTGCCAGCTCACAGCTTGTTTCAATACCTCTGAGGCACCACAACGGCACACATAGATGTGGGGGGGGGGGGCTGTAAATGACAGAAACATATATATGCCTATGTGAACACAAGTACAAATATATAAATACACATATTTCAAATTCACTTCAGAATTAGGTGGAACACAAGTCACAACTAAATCCATATACACAGAAATAAACATGCTGATTTTGTTCAAGTATACTTACAAATGTACATACATACAAGACATAAACACCTTGGGGTAATGATATTTACCCCAAAATATGTATGTGAAAAATAATGAGATTATGAGAGGGGAACAATAGTGACTGTCACATAAAGAGTGTACTAATATAACAACACAAAAAAGAAAAGATGTCCTCTCCATCATACTTTCCCAGGGCTCCTCTCTTCAGACGGGACCAATCCCTTTTCTCTGTCCATCATTACACTGCAGACTGGGTCTGCACCATCTCAAGGACTACACCATGATCCTTCCACAGAAGTGGGACAGGACTCAGTTTGGATATATCTGTGTTAAGTAAGTGGGTGAGAGAATGCATACTTATATCTTGCAGGATGTTTTTATAAAGCAGATTTTTCATTCTTTTATGAATCACATTGCATTTATTTATTTTCTTAGTCCACTTTGGGATACTACACAAATATCTGAGACTCAGTAATTTAAAAAAAAAAACTGTGCTAAAAACATTATCTTTTGATTACATATACATGTGATTATATATAGTCGATGTTGTATAGTATATATCTATAAATAAATCTATATTGGGCTCATGTGAGCACTCACTATCAATATACAGTTCCTTTTTGGTCATGACTCAGAGCATCATGGAAAGCCTGGCATGTAGGAGCCAATGAAAGAGTAGTATGGGATGAGCTTTTACCATGCAAAGGAGGGAGAGGGGAGATCCTGCTGGCAGGAAGTTGGTAAACAAAGCTTTCCAGATGTCTTTGCTGGGGAGAAGACCTGGATTTAGAGAGAGCTTAGCTGCTGAGAACTACTGTAGGAAGAACCAGCCTCCAAAGAAGTTCCTAAAGTTACTAAGTAAGGGGAGAACTCATCTTTTCTCAGTATCCTTGGAAGGAAGTGCCGCCAGAGACCCAGTGAGTTCAAATCAGTCATAAAATCCCACAGAGGCTGTTAATGCCCTAAAGACCCACAGCTTGGAGAAAATCTGATTAACTCTACCTCTCCAGATGTGCTCTAGAGTGAAATGTACATCTGGATTCTAAAACTCAAATAAGGTGGGAAAACAGAGGCAGAAGGATGAAGAAAAAACAGGGAGAGGGAGTAGAAAATACCAGGTACTTTGGTGTACTCCTTGTCTTTGCCATTAATTTGGAGCAAGCCACAATTTCTGTGAGGCTTTGGTTTCCCCAGCAAACAAACTGCAAATAAAACTGTCTCTGGTCCATTTGGAAGAGGATCTCTTCTCCTTATCTCTCAAAAGCATGCCAACCAGGGCAGCTCCCTCTTGATCCTGGAAACTATTTAAGAATGTTTCCTGCGTCCATGACCCTGGAATGGGACGCCTATCATCTACCAGACGTCTTTCCTTTCCTGACAGGGCCAAATATTACATCTTCACAGCTCTACAGAAATTCAGGGATCTGGTTCAACTCTTCCCTTTTTTAAATGATAAGCTAAGCCCAAAGCACATCTGGACTGGTGTTTTACTTATATACAACTATTTTCTTTAAAAATCATGGTAAAATTTTGAGAGCCCTGAAGAGATTAATTTCATAAGCACTCCCACCCCACCTAATGCAGGCAAAGAAGCCTGGCCTGGGAGGTGGAAGAGGCCAATCTCTCCACCACTCTCCCAGCACTCTAAGAGTTAAATTCAGCCTGAAGTCTCACACGTGATTGGCCGAATACCCGGAGAAGATCTGGTTTTTGCAGCCGCGGGCCAATGAACACCTCGAGTGGGAGGGTTTGAAGATACTAAGGAGTTTCCCCCCCTTTTTTTCCCTTCTCCACCTCCTACCATGCCCCCCCCCTCCATCCCTTACGCTGCCAGTTTGTTAAATTAATGCAGTAAGAAAGTCTGAAGATCTGAAGGAGTCCTGGCCAAAGGAAGATGGGAGAGCTCATAAAACCGAAATGCACCTGAAGCCTTGGGCTCCCAAGCCCGGAGGGGTAACCACGGATCCTGGCAGCCCCTGAAACTTGCCCTGGGCTCCCTCACGCCTGCAGTCTGAGCTATGGGACACCTTTCCTGCAGCGATCATAACTTATTCAGCGGAGACCAGAGGAACAGGGATTGCAAGACGACAGCAGACCGGAACGGAGACAGGGGAAGGAGATTCCGGGACTCGGTCACGATGCGCCAGCCTGGCACCTTCTCCGAGATCTAACTGACGGCGGCACCGACAACCACGTTCCACTCACCCCTAACCCCTCAGGCCAGCCCAAGCCATAAAGCCTGCTGTCTACCCGAGATGCTAGCCCAGTTCAGCGGTCCGAGCACAGCGCTCTGATCTCCAAGAACATTTTCCCTTACGTGGAGCTGGCCGTTTAAACAGAAAAACAGGGGTGAAAAACAAAACATACCCACCCCCAAACGTGCTTCCCGGCGCCGCAGGAGCCCATGGACACGCTGGAGTTTAAGGAACAGCAATACTCCCCGCGCTCCTGAAAAGCAGGCTGGACGCTCTCCGTGGTGCTGAAACGTCGCGGCCGCCGCTGTCCGTGGTACCCACAGCTTCCTCGCTCCAGTTTCCCCTGGGCTCTCCCTCTGCACCCTATTCCCCACCTCCCCTAACATCTGGATTATTTTTCCAATAGCGCTAGCTGGGTTTGTAAGTGCCAATTCGAAGCATTTTTGCCCCGTAACTCGTGGACTACAAAGCACAAGGACCTGAAAAATGTACAGCTTCAATACTCTTCGACTCTACCTTTGGGAGACCATTGTATTCTTCAGGTATGCAATTTTCTACTGAACACATCACTCTGGTGGAAACAGGGGGTCAGAGTACGGAGGCTGACTCTGTCCGTGGCCCCATCATTTGGGGGAGGGGGTGCTGTAAACCGCCGCAATCGGGTCCTTCCTTCCCCTGCCCCCTTCTCTCCCTTCCCACCCCCCGCCCGCAGGGTGTCTGGCTTGTGCGTGGAGGTCTGAGACAGTCGCTGCTCTAGCAGCTGTTTGCCTGTTTCTTGCGATTTGTTTGTCCTTCTGCATGAACACCCCCTCAATACTAGCCCTCGGACCCCCCGCATATTAGCTCTCACTTGGCTGAGGACTTTAAGGGGAAGCTTTAAGAGTTACTCAGTTTAATTAGGACTGCATTCTCTCTAACCGCAGTGCCGAAAACCTCAGCTCTCCCGTCTGGGAGCCAAGTGACAACTAGTGGTGACGGGGAGGGTTGCACTCACACTCGCTGGACACAGAACGTATCATTTTCTCTCCCTTTTTGTTTTTGTTTTCTTTTTCTGCAGGGGAGGGAGATGGGTTACCGAGGCTCAGTACTAGGAAACAATAGTGTTATCACCTCAGTTTGTAAAGCCTTGGATGCGGGTTGATGAGTGGATCTATTTCAGAACAAATACTGGGAAACATTCCCTTCTAAAACTTTGACTCCCTCCTTCCCCCCACCCCACACCTTTCCAAACTACTCTGTTAGCAGCAGACCCTGAGCTGAAGGACCAATTCTCGTTGGTTTTATTTCTTAATTTGTGCCTATCCCTGATTCAGTAGCTGAGTTCACCCATCCATTGTCTCCTAGGTTAAAATTCTCTGCCTACAGGCTTGACATTCTTGTGTTACTACAAGTAAAAAGTGAAAAATTATCTATTCAGGAAGCATTGAAATAGATGGGTCTTTTGTAAGTGGGAGAATCATACCATCTTGAGAGGTGGTTATGATAAATTCCATTTATATGAATTGAAAAAAATTATTCTTCTTCCATAAGCTGCAGGGATCATTAATCTTTCTCAGTTCAGATGTCTGCTTCTCATGTTTCACCATGGCATTGGATTAACAGATGTTTGGAAAGCCTACCTCAGTTATTTAAAAAACTAAGTGACCACCCAATATTATCCTCTCTGATCATGAAACAGCAAATAATTCTTGTTTTATTACACTGCAGATGAATTATTAGTTTACTGGTTGGTTTATTAAATGAATGACACTTCCTCTGAAATTGCAAATCTCTGTGTGTAAGCCTGTCTTCGTGACTTTCTCCTGAGATGAAGAAAAGAACCCCCCCAACTCCTTCTTAGAGATACCCAATGCTAAAGCTTCTAATCTCCAATTCAAATCTTTGAGAGGCCACTGTCCTGACTACAGCTCAGAATCTAAATAGTCAAGAAGTCAGAGTGAAAAAGTACAACAATCCAAAGCCTTATGAAATTTACCTACTTTATAGGGGGAAGACAGGAAGTGTCCTATTAACAATATCAGATCCTTTCTCCCCTTTATACCCAGTAGAACCTTAAAATGCTGTGGAGGTTGGGTATTTGGTAACATTTGCATGCAAATTGGTTCTCCGTTTGTCTTACCAGAGACAGAACTGAGCCAGAGAGATTAAAGAACAAATTAACAGGAGTAAGCATATCATTTACCCCTGCCACACTCCTTTCTTCTTGATGAACACCATGCAGTGCTTAGTTTTCCTTTCCCAGACATTGTGTTTGACAAAAGAGAGACTCAGAAAAAAGGGGTAGGGCTGGATACTCTGTATAAAAGGTCTGCATTGTAATCACTCTGTTAAGGTTATGAATCCACTATGTTAATTCTCCAAGTAAACTAGTGGTGGCCTATCAGGAATCACTGTACATTCCTTTCCCCTATGTGTGTGCAGGCGCATATGAGTGACAATGGCTGTGAGATATAATTCCATGTTTGTATAAGGAAAGAAGTGATCACTATAGAGAGCTAGAAAGGCGATGGTGCAATAGCACTTTCAAAATATGGGAATGTGTGCTTCACTTGAGGCATAAATGCTCATTCTGAGATATAAATAAGATGATGAATTGAACTAGGGAAATACCCCTAGCAGTTTTCCAGAGAAATGAAAAAACAAAAAAGGTTACGTTACAAGGAAATAAACTGAGCAGGTTATCTTCATTCAACTGGTATTTTTGTTTCTAACTCTTAAATTTTTAAAATTTTAGCTGAAAATATGGATACATTAAAATCTAGGGATTTAATAGAACATATGTGAGGGTAAATAGAAGCTGGTAGCATCCTAGCTGTTTCTATGAGAATAAGCCCTTTTCCCCTAAGGGACAGGCCCTGTATTGGGATGAACAAATGCAATCATCTAGGGCACCCAGGTGCCCCTTAGATTACTAGTGATGCCAGCTGTTCACCTTGCTGAGCAAATGTGAAGGCTAGGAAAGCTCCCAATAACCAATGCACTGCTGCATCAGCGCGTCATCAGTGGAATGGCAACAATGACAGCAAAACAAACAAAACAACAAGCCCAAGCCTCACATGACCAATGCAGAGAATGAATTGAGGCCTTAGAAAGGGAGACTAGGGTCCTGGGAGACCAACAGCACTGCAGTCTCCTCAGCTGTGTCCCCATAAATAAAAGGAGATGATTTGGCTGAAGTTCCTGCTCTGATAATTTTAAAGCCCAGGATTCTAAAATTCCATAAATGATATTCAATTCATATAACCTAAATTTGTCTCATTTGGAAATGGGGCCTTATATCCACATGGATCAAAAATAATAGACAAAGAGTTTTTTTGTTTTCTTTTTTTAAACATTCTTTCTGATCTTCCTTGTCAGTCAAAGGGGAACTTGGTTATGATCTCCAGAGTTCTGACAGGGGCTCATAGCTAGGACAGGCCAAGTCAGATCCCCAAATTCTCTTTCCTTCTCAAAAATCGAGCAGACTGACCTCTGTGCTATTGGCATTCTTTGTTATGAAGGCTGCCCTGTGCATCGCAGCAGCATCCTTCATGCTGCAGCACCCTTTCCCCCAGTCACGACAAAAAAAAAAATGTGTTCAGACCTTGCTAAATAACCATGGTGACCAGGGAGAGGGGATAAAATGGCCCATGTTTTGAAACACCATATAAAATGACCAAATTTATACTGCTCTGATGCACTAATTAAAATAAGGAAGAAAATCTAGTTTCCTTTAGAAAATATCCCTTGTGAAATACATAGCTTGTGCTTCCAAAGGGGATAAAGACAGAAAGGTAAACCAAGTGTGTTCCATGGGTCATTCTCCCAAAAGATGGTCAGCTTTTCTTCATGTGCCTCGTCCATCTCTCATATGAGCAGATGTTGGCTTCCACCAGTCTTTGTGCTGAATATGGCACACTCTCACTAAAAAAGGTCATCAAAACCTTGAATGGAAGATGCTTTTATCCACACTATCATCGAAAGGAACACGGTACATACATTATTTTGCATTTCCATCCTAAAAAGATACCTGGCTGAAGGGTGAATGCTTTTTCCCTTGAGGAGGCTCCTTTGACTTCCCAGTACAAGCTTGCCAAGAAGGTGGATGACCACCTTGATCTTTTCTTCCTGATATATATTCCAGCTCAAATCTAACTGCTGCCTTTGGGGTACTGCAGAAAGTGTCTACCAGCTTCTGAAATGGCCTAAGGATTTTTTCCTAAGGAAAGAAGCCCATTGGGCAAGTTTGCATCGGAGCTAATCAAAATGTCAATCAGTACACTACTCTCTCGGGCTTAGGAACCTTAAGAGAGAAAAAAGAAAATGTCATGGTTTTGTTCCCCCAAAGAGCGGCTTGAACAGGGACCCAAGGCCAGTAAATGGGGTTATGAATCAGCACATAACATCTGCATATTTGCAAAACTGGTAATGACCTACCAGGGGACATTTGGGGAATTTATTTTTGAGACTGCCTTATTAAAAAGGTTGCAGCTATGTGGTGCAGTGGAAAGAACAATTTGGCTCTGATTTGTCAGGCCGGCTCCCATCCCACAGCATGGCCATACAGGTCTCTTCCATTTTGAGGACTGTTTTCAACTCCAATAACTGAACTTACAACACTTATAAATTCCCTTCAGTCTCTGATAAGCTCTTTATCAGAGACAGGGCCCACAAAAGCTCAAGTAGAATTTGCTTCCATGGTGACCCTGGAACCTCTTCACCAGGCACTTGAATATCATGTGCTTATGTGTCCAGTCCAAAACTAGTACTCTGCAGGGGCAGATGCCACAACCACTGTCCTTGCAGAAAGAGGAAACACCAGTCTCCTTGCAGGTACATTTAAAAGCTTTTTCTCTTCCTTGGAGGGCCTGCAGAGCTCCCCTTCAGGCAGCCCATGTGTGTCCTGCAACGGCATCACCTTGGTGCTGGCGTCATTAACTTTACTTCGTTGATCAGCTGGCAGAAGCCAGAATGATTTTTAAGATGGGTGGCATTGTCTCCCCAAGTGGCATCTTGATGCTGTTCTGAAGGTACACTTTAGACAAATGAGCCTTGGCCAAAGAACAACAGACCTAGGATCCAGAATTAGGCTAGTGGCATGACCTTGAGAGGGTTCCATGACCTTTCTGGCTGTCACTTTCCCTGCCTGTAAAATGAAAGTATTTGACCAATCATTCACTCTAAAGTTATTTTTAGCTGAGCCACTTCAGGATTATCTTTTCTCGATCTCTTCCATAATAATAGCACGGTTTGGGTTAGAACCATTGTAGCATATTTCAGTTATTACAAAAAATAGCCATACCCAGCAGGTATTCTCAGGTTCAAAGGTCTGAAAGAATTGAGGATCTCACTAAGCAACTTCGTCCTTAAAGAATTACCCTAACCTGGGCACAATTATTGCTAGGTTCTATAGAGATGTCAATTTCCCCTCAAGAAATGTTTACAATGTTGAGAAGACATGAGGACTGATCACTGTCCTCTTGGTCTGAAAATGATGTGGGAAAGACCATGGTTGCTATCCTTTCTATCCATGAGTCTGTTCATCATTTACTCCCCCATAAAG